TGAATTGTTTTTTGTTTCTTTGCATGTCTAGTCCCTTGACTATTCGTCAGACACTGTGGATGTCATATCTTTGAGGGTGTGCATTGGATATTGTCCTCCTTTAAAGAAAACAGAGTTTTGTTCTAGCAGGCAGTTAATTTACAGATTGATTAGATTAATTTTGAAGCTTTTGAAAAGTTTGGGATGCTCCTGTCTCCTAGCACATGTGTGTTTTTTGCCACTGGCAGATACGCTGTGTATCTGTATAGGCGTAAAAACCACAGACCATAACCGGGTTTACACCCTGAAACCATCACCGTGGCAACTTATGTCATTATTGCTGCCTTCATTTCTGTGCTTTTGGCACCTGGAGATGATTCTGTCTTTCCCTCCTGCACTGTAATATGTTTAAAAATAAATGTGGTTATAAGTTATCCAGTATTTCTCTGCATTTGGAACAGGAGATGGCGTGTAGGTCAGCTCAGTCCATTGTATTCCCAGAGGTCTCCTCAAATTAACGTTTTTCAAACCGCATCTGTGGTAAGTGCTACTAAGAAAGGCTTAGCCTCAAAGAGGCGGTGGTGTGTGCTTGAAGGACGGGTGCAAAGGAGGTTTCCCTGAAGAAGCGATGTATTTCAAGGCTAGATCTGCAGGCAGGGAAGCAATGCTTTTTCATGTCGATAGAACAACAGATGCAAAGTTCCTGCAGCAGGATGGAGCTCGGCACCTTTCAGGGCCTGAATGAAGGCCAGTGAAATTGGAACTCAAAAGACAAGGAGGCAGTTGTTATAAAGTGAGATATGGTGAGGCAGACAGTTGCTGGATTATGGAGGACCTTGTTGGCTAGGTTAAGGTATTAGGATTTTATTTTGCCTTCCCCATACCTTCTCTTTCTTCTACCCATCAGTTCAGGCAGTGTGAAATTCTCATGCGTGGAAATTCCTGTCTACATATAAAATGTTAACAAGTTCTTACAGTCACTGTCTTCTGTGGAGAGATAGGTACTGGCTCTGTCCCTTCTAGAAATACAGCTAAGTATCCATTATAAAACAAGCTGAGGTACAAGGGTTTTTTTTTCCCTAAAATGATACTTTCAGAAAAACAGAATATTTTCATAGAAAATATGAGGAAATAGAATAGATAATTTAGTCATCAACAATAGTCCTTTTGTCATTCCTTTAATAGACAGTTTTATTAGGTTATGAGATGCCAGTTTATTAATACAGATTTATACTTTTGTGCCTGTCTTAGAATTACTTAAGCTGAGATTTAATTGAACATAAATAACCTGGCCCTTTTGAAAATCTGTTTAATGAAACCATTGAAGGCAGGTGGATGCTTATGCTTATTTATTATGCTGGGCAAATAGAGATTATCTTTACTTCCCTCTCCTTGGAAATCTGGTTCAGAAATCATAGCCACATTATAAAGTGTAAATCTTTGAGATCCCTTATGGCCATAGAGTTTACTGTAATGAAAGGTGTCAGTGCACTAAATAAGGATTAGCTCCTATGACAGGTAAGAGAATCAATCTTTTGCAACTAGCATGGTCTTATATTCTGGCCATTGTATTGGGAAGTTTTCAAGTGATTTGAAGAGTATGTGTGGATGGGGTAAAACATGTCTCATTATTAAAATGATAGTGCTAGTTATAGCCAAATGAGGAAAAATATGAAAATACTCTTTTATATTCTCTCCCTTGTAAAGAAAATTTCTTTAATTTCTTCAATTTATGTTAAAATATATACATATATATTTTCCCATATATATATATGTGTGTGTGTGTATATATATATTCCCATTAAATTTGTCTGTTTATTCCACTTAAACATACAATTACTTGTCTGAAAATAGAATTGCAGCAGAGCTTTTTGAACTAGCTTGGTAGAACATTCCTGTCACATAAAGGGTAGGGACTGAAGTACGGAGCCAGTTCACCCGGGTAGTATAAATTATGTATTTTAAGTAATGGTTCAAACTCCTAAGTTTCTTAAGTTACAACTTTCAATAATACATTTAGTGTAAAATTTATGAGTTTTGCTTTTAATCTTACTCAAACCTTTGTTATTTTGATACTTACGGACTGAAAAGGATCCATAAGTGTCAATTTGACTTTATCTAAATGTTACAGAACTTAAAGACTTGGTCAGCATATGCAAGGAGACAAGTGAAAATATCACTGAACAATTCTACTGAAGATTCATGGAGTTAAAATGAGAGGGTGAACTGTATACAACATGAGTTCATAGGCAATTTACATTGTTTTTATTTGCAGTAATTATGATGATTAATGAACCACTGTCTCAGGCCTAGTCTATTACTTTTTTTCCAAGTTAAGAGACTACCTTTTGTGATATAAAGAATATCTGTTCAGTTTCCTGAAACTGTAACAATTCAGAGAGTTGGCAGACAGCCATGTATCCCAAAGTGTACAGTTGTATTACCTGGTGAATCCTGCTAATACCGGAACAAGCAAGACCTGAACCTAGATCTACCCTCTGGGCTTATTAGGAGTTGTCTGTGCTAGAGGAAACCAAGGCTCCACATTAGAGATTTTTCTCCTTTTCTTGTCAACTAAAGGGATGGATTTTTTTTTTTTTTAGGTAAATTTCCCCAGAGACACATGGGTAATTGGCCCAATAAAAGTCTATTGTTAAAAACATCAATATTCAAAATATTTAACAATTGTAAACCCCTGACAATGACCCATCAGAAATACCATGACCGTACAGAGAACAGGATGGCTCTGCTGGCCAATGCAGCTGAATAGCAGCCCTGTTTAACAGCCCATTTTACTACCTCAGCCTAATTAATAACAGTTTTGATTACTGTGATCTTGTAGCCAACTGTTTTTCATGTAGAAGTAAAATGTTTCAAGATTAAAAATTCATGTGAAAAAGTATTAGTTGTACCCTGGCTGGTTTGGCTCAGCAGTTAGTGTCGGCCCTTGGACCAAAGGGTCTCAGGTTCAATTCTGGTCAAGGGCACCTACCTGGGTTGCAGGATCAACCCCCAGCTCCAATCGGGGTCATATAGGAGGCAACCAGTCGTGTTTCTCTTACATAGATGTTTCTCTCTCGTTCTCTTTCTCTTCCGCTCTCTCTAAAAATCAATGGAAAAAAATATTAGTTGTAATTTTTTTGGTATCAATTACTAAAAAGTTAATTCTGAGGAGTCTCTTGAGGTCAGTGACTCAATTCTATTGCTCTCTGAAACTTTAATTGCCATTGCTGTGCTGGACACAAGGACACAGTGTAGATTTCTCCCATCATTTTGGAAACATGGCATCATTTTGTCTTGTTGAAATTAAGAATAGATCCAAATTTTTCAAATGTAAATCAAATGGCTAACTTTATCTTCTGAATGCATTGCTGTATGTAGCCCATCCTTAATTCTCTGACAATGGCAGAGATCTTTAGATTTTTAAGTGTTAAATTATACTTCTCAGAACCTCAGTAAATTCCTAAGTCATAGAACTTCACACTAGCACAGTTCCTGAAAGTTAGCACAGTACTTGGCCTATAGTCAGCCATAAAAAAAATGTTAGCTATGGCTTTTTAAAACTATTTCATAGGTGTAGTTAATACTATGTTTACCAATGATTATACCTAGGAAGAAAAATAAACATTTGAGTGTGATCCAAAATGTGTTTTTTTAACGAATTATTCCAATATTTTATCAATTAAATTATACTATTTGCAAATAATGAAATTTGATTAAATTAACTGAAGATATATTTTTTTTATTTCCATCCTTTGCCTGATCTTGGTGGCAAGTTCCAAGGCAACTTTTGTTGTTTTTTTCTTAATTTAGGTAACTAAGTAATCTTGTCATATAATTTAAGAAATAATATACATAACAGCTATTGAATTAACTTTCCAGGTACTTTTTAAGCTATTTTCGGAAAACCTTTGTATGAAATTTCTCTTTCAGTGATTTCTGTTGACTTTCAACATTTTTAAAGGAGTGAAATAAATGTAGACACACTATTCTCATGTGTAAATGAAATTCTAGCAGGGGGGAGGGATCACTTTTTATAACAGTGATTGTCTTTGAATCTTACCATTTTTAACCTTAAAAATAAAAAATAAAAATAAAACAGCCAGTTATTTTTATCACCAAACAAAAGGGGACTTATTTAGGAAAACAGAGCATTGCAACTTGGGAAAAGCATGCTATAGCAAAAACCATAGGCAAGTCCAGCAAACACAGAAGAGGGACATCACTTTATAGAGAAAAACAGGAAGCTTGGGGGGGTGCTTTGAATGGAAGTCCATTGGAGGAAAATGAGAGTTCAGGGTGGTAATGGCTTTCAGTTGGCTGAGTTGGGGGTTTCCCCCTGGCTAGGCTTGTTGCTGGTCGGGGAGAAATCTTCCTTCCTGCTGCTGAAGTAATTGAGACACTTCTTGTTGGGGAATGCAATGCACCTTTCTTCCTGTTGGGTCTGTAACTGATGCTTCTTCCTTTTGAGGTATGTAATTGACATCCAGTGTTAGTACATGAGGGCTCCTCCTTCTGACCTTCCTAACTTCATTTTAAAAGAGGTTTTCTTGCCCTGGCTGGTTTGGCTCAGCCCTTGGAGCATCAACCTGCAGACCAAAGAATTACGGGTTCAGTTCGGCCAAGGGCATGTACCTCAATTGTAGTTCGATCTCTGGCCCTAGTCGGAGTCAGCCAGTTGATGTGTCTCTTTCACATCAATGTTTCTCTCCCTTGCCCTCCCCCCCCCCCCCCCCCCCGGATCTGAAAACCAACAGAAAAATATCCTTGGGTGATTTATAATAAATAAATAAATAAATAAATAAATAAATAAATAAAGGTTTCTTTATTCAGTTTCATACCACTAAATATTTGATTGACCCACTTCATAATTTTCACAAAAAAGTCTCAGAATTATTAAAGACGAATAGGAAGGCTACAAGGAAATATTTTCTAGCTACCACTGACATTGATGGACAACTTGGAAAATACTGCTGTGAATATGCCACATTGTAATTTTCGTTTATTATTTTTCTCATTAGGAACCTCTCACTGAAATTAACAAAAGACATTGATCAGGAAGCCAGGTGTCCTCACATCAGCCGAATGCCCAGCAGTCCATCTGCAGACTGGCCCCTGCCAGGTGTGGAAGAAAACGGAGGCCTAGATTCTCTGCCGTTCCGACTGATGTTACAGGACTGCACGGCCGTCAAGACATTATTATTAAAGATGAAGAGAGTTCTTCAGGAGGTAATAGCTTACTCTGAGATTAATGTCTTTCAGTGCTGGTAGACAGTAAAGTCTGTAGACCTGGTTAGTCTCTGCTTCTGTCAGTAATTAACTGCATGACACTGGGCAGGGATCAAGGATTTGGAGTTCTGCTTTAGAGGTACTGTTCAGCTCTAAAATATTCATGTTCTGTGAAGGAATTGAAAAAGAATAATTGATACCTGGGAAAACTCAGATCAAGAGAAATAGGTATCAGTAGCAATGTTTATATGTTGTTATAAAGCTAATGAGAAACATAGTAAATGAACTTAACTTTGATGATACTGAGGCTTTATTTATATGATACAATAAAAGTTTAGTCATTTAGCCCCAATATAAATCAATCCAGTAAAATTTAATCTGAATGTTTAACTGATTTTTCCCCTGTTGAATACAGTTGCCCTCCCACAGCCTGTGCTCATTTAGATGATGAGCTAGTCAGGAAAATAGATAATGGATTCTTTCACCTTTCTGTCCAGTATTCAGTTATTCTTTAGATTCAAGTAGGTTACGGTTTTCTATTTATAATTACCCCAGTTATTTTCTTTCAGGGATTTTTATAAAAAGTGGATACATTAGAATTCAAGACAATGGTCTGAGATTTCTGACTTCAAATCCAGTGAACTTTTATTACATCCCTTTATTGTTCACTTCATTTCTCTTCATTGATAGGAGGTACTAATAAATAGTGGGAAAAGAGAAATGAATAGTAGTATGGTTAACCTTACAAGGTGATCATTGAAGATTGCTTTTCTAACACTTTGATAATAATAAGAATAATTCTAGCAGCTACCACTAGAGGCCAGAATGCAATCAGAAAGAAAGAAGGATATTTAAGAGAAATAAATTTGACAGACTGTTGAGGGCACTCAATCGTGTATTCTTATCAGCTGTTAAAGCAAAAACTGGAAAAGATTTCTACATCTGTACCAGTTACTATTGCTTGGTGGTCTTTTTGTGTAGAATGTATGCCGTGGTGTACTTATACGTGATCACTGTTAGAATTTCAGGGATTTTAAGAACTGGCAGTTAAGCATAGGCATAAAAATTCAATTACATGCACCTTCAATGAAACAAATTACATTTTAACAGCATAATCGGAACTCAAAACTTGTGTTTTACTTATTGCACTATATTTTACTATTAACTATAGTTGTGAGCTTATTTATATCTATTGGATCTATATGTAGAAATTCTATATAACAGCTACTGTGCATATTTCCCAACTGTAGCTTCATTTAGGTCATTTTGGCAGCTTGAAATCATTCATATGGGAGTATTGTGCCTCAGAAAATGGCAAACACCATATATTAGGGCTTTTAATTTTGGGTGAGTCTTTTGTGAAACACTTACCGACACAACACTCTCTGAATGACTGTATTGTTTCTACACTGACAACATAAGCATTTCCTGCTCTTGTGGCATCTACCGGACCTTTGGCTTCACATGCAGTCTGAACCTCTTTGAAAAGTCAAACATAATAACAGCTGTTATATTAAAAGGTATTAATCTCAAAGTCAGTAACTTTCAGCTATTGAGCTTCTGTCCTTTCTCTTTGGTCTAGAATTTAATTTAAAAAATTCATACAACTAAAAGGAAGTAGAAGAACTGACACGAAGAGCCAGGAGGATTTCATTGGGTCCTTAGTTTTATCATTTAAAGTTATTTAGTGATATTTGCTGTAAAATCAATGTTCAGGATATACTGAAACTGTTTTTATACTTCTTATCTGTTTGATACTTATCTGTTTTCCTTCATGAAAAAGTGTTAGAAGAAACTGAAGAGAATTGATTCTTAAAGCTGATGTACAATGAGCAATAATTACATCTGTTGGTTAAGCCCATTCAGAGAGCAAGGGTTCTTAATTCTTTGTGGTCAACAAGAAAAACATGATTATGTTTAGTGTAGAAAAGTGTTCTGGTAATTAGATGTTCATAATAGATGCCTTTAAAGAAAATGGTTTATTGAAATGTTTTTTTAAACCAGGAATTTTCAAATGGTAGTTCACATTTCATTTCTGTATTTGAGTTGAATATCAACTATTCATTTTAATTAACAATACCTTTTTGATATAGAACAATCGTGTTTATTCCTCTTTTATGAATTTTTTTATGATGCATAGTAATCTGACATTTTTGTATACAGATTATTTTTTAACTGCAGAAGAACCCAGTTATGTGATTTTTAAGATAAAAAAGTAATTAATGAGTTTAATAAATCACACTAGAAAATGGTGCTCAGTTGATACCTAAAATTTCAATTATTAGGTGGGTCAAATGTGAATGATCTGAATGGACTCTCACACTCCTAATTTTGCCTCCCTTCTTTGAAGATCTGTTAGTATTATTAAAATGCACATACATATTCCCAACAACCCCAACATCAACTTCTTTATTTAAAACAAAAACAAATAATAACTGACTTTGGGCCCTTAGAAATTCGACTGTCACTTTATTCTTTAGTATTAATAATAAAAGAAGTGCCTACAGCAAAGGAGACATTTTTTCCTCTTTGGCTAAATTTTTAAAACATGATTCCATTATCTATATGAAGATGTTTAATATCTACAGAGATAGTATCTATTATAATGTTTCCTTTTAGTTTGCTCTGTTCTTTTATAACCTAGTCTCAGAAGTAACATACCATGACTTTTGTGAAATTTATTTATTGGTGACAACAACTTGACTCAGCAGGGGAAGGCCTATACAAAGTTCCGGCAACCAGGAGGTGGGGGACATGGCCCTTCCTGGAGGCTGGCGACCACATTCTACCCTCTGGCCCCCGCAATGCACCTCTCACGGTGCAAAGGACGCTTATTCCCTCCCACAGAATCATTCCATGACAGCATCAGCTGAAAGTGCAGAATCTTATCTTGAAGCACATGCAGTTGTAGATGAGGCTTAAGTCCAGTGACTCATACAGTTCTTCACTTGAAGACTGTGACTGAATGCCTGGGTCAGCAGTTTCTTGATCAGGACTTAAAGCCTAAGAATAATTCTCTATGGCTTTCACTTCCTTCCTCTGTACTCTCTGTCTACCCTCCCAGTCATTCTTTCTTTTCATGTAAAGTTAGCACATATTTACAGCTGAATAGTTTTCTCATCCTTATCTGTGCTTGTAGATATTGGTGTCCAAGGCCTCTTTCAATTGTGTATTTTCTCCTTCCCTGTAAGTCCAAACTACATGATTCGGTAAATATAATTCACTTAAATTCTTTTGGGATTTCTTGTGAACCTTATCAGGAATTCATTCTGTTAGACAAAAGCCACATCCCCAAATCTCTTCAAGATAAGTCCTTTTTAAACTGGTGGGTACCCTTTAAGAGTTAATACTTTTCTCAGTTGAGAAGATTTGTGAGACATACCCTGAAACCTTTAACTAAAGGCACCCCTGGACTGACTGCACTCGGTACTCTGCAGCAGTTTTCATCTTTCAGGATGGCTCTACATATTCTACATTAATGTCTAAGGCCACACAAAGCATTTATATCTGGGTGGGTGTAGTTGTTGCATAGGTTCCCATTATTTCTTTTATAATTTTTTTCTTTTATTTTATTGATTTCAGAGAGAGAGGAAGAGAGAGGGAGAGAGAGATAGAGACATTGATGAGAGAGAACACTGACTGGCTGCCTCCTGCATGCCCCCCACTGGGGATTGGACCCACAACCTGGGCATGTGTCCTGACTGGGAATCGAACCGGTGACCTCTTGGTGCATAGGTTGACACAACCGTGGAGCCATACCAGCCGGACTAGGTTCCCATTTTTAATATAGCTCACCAAATTATACACTTAACATGATAGCACTTGGAATGTCATCACATCACTGATAGTATTGCTGTTAATGATGTCATTTTGTGAAATGTTTGTTCTTCCCCTGGGAGACCAATAAATGATAGGGCACTATTGTGAATTCTTACAAATGTTGTTAGAGTTTAGACACGTCTCCCTTCCCTGCCCTGTTTTTAGAATAAGTTACAAAAATTTGCAGTGTACCACTGTCTTCATACACAACAATGGATCCCATTGTATACGCCCTGAAGAAACTTGGGGTCTTAGATTTACTGAGAATGTGTAGCTTCTGAATAAGAATATTCTCCCTGCATAAGGCTTGGCTCTTTGTGAAGGGATAAAAGCGGTCTGGAGAATAGATTGGAAGGAGAGGGTAGTATAGATCCATGATTCTTTTGCTATGAAAGCAACCTAAACTTTCAACACTTCCTGGAAGAGATTAGTTGAGAAAAATTTTTCCCAGAACCCCAGCCCCATTTCATTCAGTGCTACTGGAGGAAGTGTAGGAGAGTGGTAAGAATCACAGGTGTTTGGAATTATGGAGATTTAGATGTGATTCTCCCTTCTACCACTTACTCGCTGTTACAAGTTGATTAAGGTTTTTGAGTCTCTGTTTCATCATAGGCAATATGACGATCTCATAGGGCTATTTGGACGAGTAAATCATAAAATGCCTGTAACGGGTTATCACAGTGGGAGTGTGGGGTAAGTATCCGTGAACAGGAGCTGCTGCCATGATCTTGGTAGTGTGATCATTACTGTGTTTAGCTAGGTGGCTATATTTGAGATTTATTAAACCCTTGGATATATGCCAATACATGTTCTTTAATAGAACAGAGTCTTGTATTTATTGAGTAATTGAGTATTAATAATTGTTAATAAAGGCCAAACTAGCTGAAACTCAAAGTAGAAGTATGGCTCTTCCGGGCTTTCAGCTATGGAGCACATTCGACCTGACGTTTTTTTGCCAAAGAACTACTGCATGTCAATTATCAATTAAATTTTCTGTTTACAGTATAAGAAAGGTTTTTTCCGAGTGAGAAATCATGGTGACCGTGGTGGTAGCAGCGGAGAGACAGAATAGGGAAAAGATGTGTGACGTGTTTGGAAGTAAGGTCAACAGTACTTGCTGGTGAATTGGCAATTGGAAGACAGAAAGAGAAGAGTAAATGGATAACCGAGAGTTGCAGTCT